GGTACTTAAGAAATTTGAAGAGTACATTAAAAGCCTATTACTATGACAAACAGACTGAGTGGGACAATGATTTAACTTTATTACAGCAGGGATTTAATACAGCATACAATGAAAGTATTAAAACAAGTGCTTTTAAAGTTATGTTTAATCATCCACCAAACCATGCTTTGTCCAATTTATGGAACATAAATGAGTTGGTAAGTGAAAAACTGACACCTGATGAGATAAGAAGTAAGGTAAAGATTGCAATAAAAAATTTAAAGAAATCTGTACAGATAAATAAAAATGGACAACGTTACTCTGATGATAGAGTTAAGCATCCATTTAAGGTTGGTATGAAAGTGTACTTAGGAAATAAGAAACTGTCTAAAAAGATAGATAAGTACCAAAACAAACTTGACCTTAGATTTATGGGACCATTTAAGATTTTGTATTTTGTTAATCCTGTGACTGTTTTAATACAGAGCATTTCAGATTTAGAGGTGGTGAAGAAAGTAAATATATCTCAGTTAAAACAGGGATACAAATAAAGTAGTCACAAGGAAAGTGAGGTAAAACTGATAACTGAGTTTGGTAAGAAAAAAAAGAGATATTGTATTATTTTATGTCTTAAAGGGTATGTGAGTGTACTTCTATTTTAATTGTAAAAATGTAAAAAGAAAAGGTAATACAAACTCACCAAAGGTAAAAAGGTAATCCATAGTTATCACAACCCTAAGTCTTCATACTACACTTGCACTTCACTACTTACGACAATCACTTCTACACTTACACTGACTTTGACACCTTTCTCACTTTTGACACTACATGGGCCCACATACTAAACTTACACATCCACTTGCAACTGAAGCTACTTGGACTACACAGAAAGACAAACTACTTCCACTCTGGCACTGACATTCCATGAAGTTTAGGACTGTGATAACAAAAAAGAATTGTTTGAACTTGTATTTTGTAAAATTCCAGTTTGATTGTTATCTTGGTTTTTGAGTATCTAGATATGCTTGTATTACCTGTTCTAAAAACATTGCAATGAGCAAGGATATATTCTGTTCTAAAAACATTTGTTTATTTTGGAAGAAGAATGTGTTATAAGATTGTTTGAAAAGAAAAAAAAAACATGAAAGTTATAATTTCATTACTCATGGGTGATAAAAAAAAGGAGAAATATTACGTTTTGTATGGTTATTTTAAGTTTGTTAATTTAGTTTAAATCAGTTCACAGATCCGGAATTGGGTATCATTGTCATTTAAACTGCATCCGATCCTTCGCTTCGCTTGAAAGTTGTGTCCTGATTTCAGAAGCAACAAAGCGACTGGAGCTTATCAAGTCACCTTTGTATTTAAATGATGAAGATAAAAACTCAATTGATTTTATGTTTTAAATATTTAAAATATTTTATTTTTTGATTATGTAGAAGAACTTTTGAATGTATAATTTTTTTTGAGGGAGAGATTTGTACCAATTTTTAAATTGTAAAAAAAATTATTCTTTATTTTCAGTATAAAAACAAACAAATTATACTTTTTGATTAATAATTATGTCGAAGGATTTTCTTAAATATGTTTGAAACAAGAAAATAATTATGCAGGAAGTAAATAAGACATGTTAGAACTGTTTCATGCTTGTAAAGATGAACTAAGAGCTAATCTGATTGGTCCAATTCCACCAATCAGGTTAAGCAGTTAGACCAGTATAAAAGACTAGGTTTGCATGTTAAATCCCTTTTTAAGTCAGATTGTGTTGTACAGTGATGTTGTTTAGTAAAGATGAAGTTTTTAATATAATTTTAGTGAATTTCGGCCCAGGAAAACTGGTATGTAAAGTTATTTAATTAATAAATTTAGTTCATCTAGTAGGTCTGTGAAAAGAAAAATGTTTCAACTTTGATTATATTTTAAAACTATTAAATTTGTTTGTTTTTAGGGCACATGATTGTTGGTTACCAAAAGCAATTTAAATTAAAGAATGATGGCGAAGAATTTGAAGTATATTATTTCCAATCATAAAACCTATTTTTCAAAATTAATTGTAATTAAGCTAATTAAATCAAGAATTTTAGGAAGAAATTAAATTAAAACCAAAGTTTTGTTACATTCGATTTCGATTAATGCGATGATCTATTTTGACCAGCAGGACTGATATGTTTTATGTTTAATGTTTAAGTAGTATAAACACTACACATCTGTTTTAATACGTTTGTTAGTATCTCTAGAAATATTTTTCATTTTGTTTTTTTTATTTATTCATTGAGCTTGTTTAAGATATCGATATATTAATATGCAATCATATGTGCTGTGTTGTCAAGCTACCGACTGAGCCACCGACTGAGGCACCGTCTGAGCCACCGCCTGAGCCACCGCCTGAGCCACCGCCTGAGCCACCGACTGAGCCACCGAATGAGCCACCAACTAAGCCACCACCTGAGTCACCGCCTGAGCCACCACCTGAGCCACCGCCTGAGTCACCGCCTGAGCCACCGACTGAGCCACCAACTGGGCCACCGACTGAGCCACCGACTCTAAACTATTGGTTGAATTATCTAACTCGAATTGGTCTAATTATCAGGATATCACTGCGCATAGTCGTAGTACTCACTAGTGCGGACATTAATCCACACCATGGAGTATCGCATCCACAGTGCATGACTGGATGCCTATAAATATTCACAATTCGTGACCTTCTAGTAGTAGTTGGATTACAGGACGACACCACCGCCCCAGTCTAGGATGTAGACCAAAATTGTTCGAAATCGATAGGGTGCCTAATTTCATGCATGGTTGGAATCTATAGTACTTACTGTGAATATCTTAAATCACAACTAACAATATGTTACTTTTGCAATATTTATAATTTTATTTCAACTTTCTTTACTATTTTCTAAGTTGAATATTGTTTTTGTTTAGTAAAATCCCAGTAGATATGGGCAGTAGTGGTACCATTGACCTTGAATCATTATAAATAAAATATTGTTGACGAGTTTGAGAGCTTGTTCATAACCAGTCGTGTCACTCAACCACGCATAGTTCAATTTGATTTTTTTAAACAGTGATTATTTTTTAATTAGAAGTATTCCAATTATTGTTTTAAAATGTTTCTAACAAATAAACAAATTACACATAAAAAATACAATAACTACTTTAAATTATTATAAGATACTGAGTAATATACATCAAGAATGATTCTTATGACAAATCTCTTAGTTGACGAAGAGCTTAATGAGGAAACTTTGTTCGACATTTATGTTTACGCTCTTGTTTTACAGTTTAATTGTTGCAAACTTACACGTGGTTTCAACATTTTAATGGCATGTCGCAATCTTAAGCTTGTCCTTGTAATTTTAATTAAACTGGTTGAAAATTTTGTCCAGATGGTTTTTGGATGAAACAGATAAGTTATTAATGTTTTGTGTAATACAATACAGTAGATTAAATAATAAAACATACAAATTTTAGAATTTGTTCCAATAGGTAAGATAAAGTGAATTTTTCCAGATACCATAAATAATCCAATATGTGCATGCTTTGTAATATTTTTGATAGCATGTACAGTTTATTTGTAGTAGGTCCCCTTAGAGTCTGTAGACACTGACAAAAAATATAAAACTGATCTTACAATTACCTACAGTATTTATTGTAACTTATTACTACTTAGTTATTACAAAACTTTTACAGTGGCCTTTTACCGTTATTACCGTTGGTTTTGTTAGTATTTATGTTAAATTAAGTTGAAGTAAAAGTAGATTTTGAATTCATTTGCATATGACGGCGTATTTGTTTTTGACTTTTCAGGTTAATGCATTCAGACAAATACAAGACAAATGTGAAAACCCCATCTTGGAAAATGGAAGAGAACTCCAACCTTTGAACAATAGAAAGATGTTTAAAGCCAAAGGAATTTACCTTGTGTACAATTGATGCTTAAAGCTGAAAATCGCTAAAAAGCCAATTGATATTTGATTAATATAGAAAATAGAAAAGTGAAGATGTTAGTGAGTTGTGACTAAACTAAAAAGAAACAAAATTAAGCGAAATTATACGCAATTAAATTTTATCATACTTATAGACTGTGATAGATAATTATAGACTCGTATTATTTAAGGTAATACTAAACTGTATGTTTAAGTTATCAATTAAATTTTACGTTACTATTACAGTTGTAAATTATTTGTTATGTCAAACTGCCAAAAATAAAGATAATAAAGAATATAAACCATTTGATACTGTATTTTACTTATTATTATTCGATCAAAGTCAATACAGTATACATTATTATTTTTTCCAGCTTACTTGGTGGTAGAATTATTTCTCTATCTATTGAAAACTACCTTAAAATAACTTCTTACATTATATGTTCAAACATATAGGTTTGAGTGCAAAGAATAGTGAAAATAAACGAAGCAGGAAATAATTAAAGAGCTTATCCTTTACAGATAAAATATGCAAAAACATGTTTCCACCATAAGTCTTCAATAAAACAGGCTAGTCTTAGTCCGTAACAGAGATATAATATAGTTTATTCATTAATCACTTACCCTTCACTTTTCTTTGTCCTAAATTACACCTCTTAGTTTACATTGGATCAGTGTCTAATAAATTTAGATTTTTTTGTTGATCAATAAAAAAATTATGTGTGTATACACAGTCACAACATATAATTTCTTAGCCAATGTATTAAGGCAGTAAATAAATACTGGTAATGATTTTCAGGTGCATGGGCTATAGTTCTTATTTAATTATTAATCCATCGAGGTTGTCTATTAAAAACCAACACAACAGATAAGTGTTAGACTGCTTAGTTCTAAAGCTTAACATTATATATTATCGGTACACAATTATTAACTGTTATAGTAATGCATTTACGAATCAAGTTCCTAAAGGCACACTACTATACGATGCAAAGAATTACCTCATTTAATAACTGTACCGCAGTGAAATTTGAAGTGTAGTAACTACTATTGGATCAGAACAATAACATCAATAGGGAAAGGGAACCTTACCAAATTTTATTGTAGTCTTCTTCAGCTTAACATTATTTTCCTGAAACAAAAAATAATTGATTGATTTTTTGTCAAATTCTTAGAGCCCATCACAAATACATTATACAGGATATTACAGAATATAAAGTCGTCCTAAGACTTAATTGTCACTCTGTATACGTAGGTTATTATTATATTCGTTTAATATTTTGTATGGTAAATATGCCAAGTCCGTAAAACGTAAAGACAGACAATTTCCGCCATTGGTCATCAGAGCTTTGTATGAATATTGAGTAGGGGTGTCATTAAAATATTTGTTTTTCCTTTAAGGATAATAAGGATATTACAGTCACTTTGAAAACCGCTTTAGGTTAAGGGGAACGCGAAACGGTTATTTCCACCAAAAATCTCAAACTTGAAAAGTTTGACAAAAAGACTAATATCTCCATAGGCCTATAATATTTATATGGGGAGGAATTAAAAAACCCATTGAATAGAAAATGGCTTGTGTAAATATTTAAACGTTTTGGTATTACAAACGAACTTATTTAAAATGTACATCACTAAAAAGATGTTTTTAAATAAACTAAACAAATAAATAAATGTTTTTAGATTTTGTCATGCCCTCAAGTCTCTAATTTGTAGTCTATTAACATCTGCTCACTAGGATTCATGTGAAATATATATTATTTATTTTTTCTAACCTCAAACGTGCATTTTTTATCAGTTAATGCATTCATACTTGCCTTATTCTTCTACCTTTTATAAATATATTTCTACTGTTCCAAGAAAATATAACTTAATATTTGTTCTAAAATGTTTTCAAACAACTGGACGAGATAAGGACCTCAAATGGATCTTCCATGTTAGCCTAGAGCTGCACTCTCAGAACTGGTCAAAGCCAACTAACTACTTTTCTCTCAAGTGTTTGAATTTCCTGTTTGCTTAAGTGTTTCAAATGTATTAGTTGATGTGGAATATTATTAACTATGATGTATTTGTATTTTTTACATGATAACGTTATGAAGTTTTGTTTATTCTTGAAAGCATCAATAGTTTTTCCAACTTAAATTCTTAATGTCCCACAATTAAATTACTGGACGTTAGAACCCAGCATAAAATCCGTTGGTGATTGGCAGGAATTAATCCTGCTACCTCAAAGACCACCAAGCGGGAGGCACATGATCCAGGCTGTAATCCTCTTAATCACGGTCGGTTGACCAGTCAGTTTTAGGTTGGCTCAAGAAGAGACAAATTGTTATCGCCGTCGCTGTCAAAACGTATCGTTTGTAGGTTAAATTTAATTTAATTTAACTATCATACCCTAACCAAACTTGCTGATAATGAAAAACCGAATGAAGGTTTACTAATCGGAAAAATAGTTCTGTTCATAAAATAAAATTACAAATGCCTCATCTCCGATGGGATTCAAAATTATTTATTCCCTGCCCCTCCTCCGGTGACCATTACCCTCAGGCCATAAATCAGGGGATTAACCCAAACAAAGATCTGGATCGTTGTCCTTCTCCCCCACCAAACCCTGCAGTATACTACAAAACTAGACCCTAACAACTAGTAACACTTGTTACTTCTTCTATCTTAGGTGCCGTGATCTAATTGCTTAAAAGACACCGATGAGAAACATTGACAGAACATAAATTGGCTATAAGTCAATCCAGAATAATTGTAAAGCACATTTTTTCAACTAGGTACATCAAACATTCAAAGTTATATATGTTTTTAGTTGTGCTTATTACTTACTACATTGTTGAGGATGCAAACATTTGCCATACTTAATATTCATTATTGTATTATGTTTGCTGAATAAATAGGTTATAAAATAATGATCTCAACACATTTATTTTCTGTTCCACAAACAGCCAATACACTATGCGCACCGAACCTGATTAAATAAAATAAAACATTATTAAAATCTCTGTTGATACAGCATATCTGTTACAGCGTCCAAGAATCTTTAACTAAAATCAGTCCCAAGATTATTAAAGATTACATATGCTTTGTAATCTTTGGTTTTATAAATATTCATTTATGAAACTGTGTTATTTGTAGGTATTATATAAGACTTGTATCTATTTGTTAATAATTCTTAAGAATCATGTAAACCATCATTTATTTAAATTGTTTACCTAGTAAATACAACTTGAATAATTATTGTTAATTCTGGCAGAATGAAAATTTGAATTGATTTTGAATGTAAATTTATATCATCTCTTCAACTTTATTGTTCTCAATCAATGTATAGAGCTTCCCCCCGTTAGGCCTTCAGTGTCAGAGATATGTCGACAGCAACTGCAGTAACTAGTAAAGATACATCGCTCTCTTGAGGCTTGTCCATATCTCGCTCGTTACTAACAATTTATTGCTAGATGAAAAATATTCCATTCGTATTACTGGTTAATGATTTTTTTTTAAATCATCGTCTTTTGCTTTGGTCATGCTATTCATAGTTGAAAAAATAGCATATTTCACCACTAGGGCGTAAAGCGACTTTTTCGACCCGAGCTCAAGTTTTACGATCAAGACGAAGCCGTCAGAAAATGAGCCAGGGCTGAAAAGATAACCTGTATTTGTGTAACTATATTTTTCGTCATAATGCATCACTAAAGAAAATAAGTTAAAAACAAGGTAAAGATATGCCAAACTTTTGAAAAGAATGCAACAATAAGCTAAAACCTAACCTAATAAATCAATCAATAATTATGCGAATCGTGCGATTGCTACAATCGAAATTTACAACTTTTTACAACAGCTGGTTTTAACTCTCTAAAATACTAATAACATTTAGACCCGCAATGCATGTTTAAAAACGTCCGTTTTTGCAGCAGCATGACGAAAATATATTAACTTCAAGTGTGCACAATTGTTATGTTTAATTTACTGCCTTATTTGTTTTTCCTAATATCTTTCAACAAAACGTGAATGATATGGAAGTTTCAATGTTTAAAATATAAGGTAAGTTTTAAAAATCTGTCAATATACATGTCAAGGCTATTTTGAGTGTCTATTACAAGTACGGCATTTACCAAATTATATTAACATTTTTGCATAATTTTTTTGGAATAGTAAATTACTAACTTTAAAATATCATTAATGTCCTTAATCAGAATTTATTTTTGGTGCTGGAGATTTGATGTTGTATTAATGTTTATTGCCGACATTTTAATTACTAACACTGTTATGGAAAGTATCCGCAATAAACCTTAACACATAATTAATGTAATATTATTTCAACCCAGACATAATATTAGCAATGATGAATCAACAGCCAGTGGCAGGTACCATATGGTTGTCTGGAGCAATATGGATGTTTGTACGTCATGTCCAGTTCTCAGCTGATTAATGACTTCTATTGATTAACTGCTGTTTGAGGTGTCGATTACCAGTCATAAATTATGCAAATGTCAGTAATCGAAATTCAATGGTGATATACAATGTTATATTGGTCATTTGGTTACGTTTCTCAATCATTTGAATTTTGCCCACAAATTGATTTAAATGTAACTGTGATACCTTGGGTATGTGTTTTTACTTATATAAATTTTGTAATTTACTTGATGATTGAAATGTGCATTGAGACGATGATATTTTATCGACCATCACATCCATAGTGGGGTAGTACTATTTTAATATGTCTTTTACTAAATTTATCAAATATATTAACACATTTAATGTCATTGGACTCCTCCTGGGTAGAAACTAAAACGTGCTAAGATTGGGATGTACCAATACAGAAAGTACACACAAACACAGAAAGTTGTTGGGATTCCTACAAAGTACACTTAACGAAAAATTAAACGCTAGCATAGAAATGTCATCAGTTCAGGTACTCGGCATAGTACTTGTATTTCAATACAATTTCAGGGCATAAAATATCAATTACTTATTATGATGGTAACAATAAAACTCTTTCAAAAACCACCATAAATTAACTTGTAAAATACAAAAACTGATAATTTTTGTTTTCATTTTCATACTTTCAAGAGTTGGTAACCACAGAAGTGATACACTCGTTAATAAAATATATGACATTAGTTATTTAGGTGGAATACTACGGTACGAAAAGCATATTTAGAAGACAGCCTTAGAAGTGACAGGAAATTAACCAAGGTAATATCCTCCCTGAATTCTCCCTTCACCCTAGTTAACTGAAGCTAACTATATGCTCTAAAAGGTATATTTAATCCTGAGTGTTTAGAAATTTGAATGGATTTTAAATTGTACACTAAAAATATTAAAGCAGTTTACTCTGCATTATACAGGGTGTCCAAATAATATTACTAACATTTCATACATTACCTAAATTGTTACTTTGTGGCGTACAATGGTCTAACTGTGTTGTATGTAACACCCAAATTCTAAAATTTAGTTTCAACAATATTTTTGACGCATTTGTTTATCTGGATATATTGTGACCTTAAATTAATTAAAAATGTTGACGAGCAGATTTACATCGAACAATGTGTTGACTAGAGCTTTCTCGTTTTCCGGTCATAAATCATTAAAATTTCTTTTTATGGTGTCGATGTGAATAAAAGGGATCATAAAAAAATACATTTCAGATCTACTTTATGAACTAAGAGGAAATACGTTTTCAGTAAAGCAGCTTAATTCTACGTTTATATTAATGCATGTATAAAATTCCGATTTTTACATTTAGTTGTATTTCGGGGAAATGCTTCTATAATCGTCTCTTAGTACATCCACTGAGTTTATTATGGTCTGGTAGATGATGTCCTTTATTCATCCTTTCCAGGAATTTCATAAGATGTGATGACAAAAAACATTGAAAACCAAATAGTCAACAATATTTATATTTTAGGTCACACTACCCATGACAACAATTTGCAAACATAATGAGGAAAACTAAACTTTACAATGTGACTAATAAACACAGGTAGAACATCGCACTAAAAAAACAGTATGCAATTGATCCAACATATTTCTGACACCCTGTATATGAATTTAAAATAGGAGGCTGTATCTTAAATCATGATATAAAAATTTGTTCCTGAACATAAAATTTTTAATAAATGCTATGAG